AAATAATATAAAATTATAGATAAAAATAGTTATATTAATACAAAATATCTCAGAACTGTATCAGATGTTTTTAATAACAAATTTTTTGGCCAATTTAAAGTCAATATTTCCTTAGCAAAAATATCGAAGTATTTAATATTATTTAATTTTCAAGATATAAGAGAAATTGGAAAAGGGACTTATTTCACGAATTAACTTTGAAGAATCAAATGAATACTACATTCTTTAGTATCATATCAGATAAAGTTTGCTTTTCAATACAGTTAACTTTAATTCGATGCATATAGTTATAAAGTATATGATGTAAAAAGTCAGAAAATAATAAATTGTGACTTCTCTCGATATTTTTATACAGGAAAAATCGAGTCCAAAGAATCTGTCAATCTATCAATAAAAGGACATTCGGTCGTTCAAAAAGACAATCAGTATAACAGCGAGACAACAGATAAATATACATGTTGGTGTATTACTATTACGTAAAACTGCTGGTAAACAGGCAATCATTTTTTACTTTTTATCAAACTGTCAATGATTATTTAATTTATGCGATCAATAAAAAAATTATTCAATTATCTTTGCGGCTATAATTACTCGTGATTATCTTAATTAATCAAATATATTATAAAAAGACAAGCGCGAGAACTATTAAATAACTTTGCTGCAACATGAAATGCAAGGAATAAAAGAGAATTTAACTTTAATGATTGATAAACAGAGAAACGAGTAAATTGTTTATTAGTTTCTATCTGCAATAGATACATCTTTTGGACATATCTAAGAAAGGGAAGGTTCAAACATTCTTGAATCTTTTCTTAATTTTTCATTATTAATTATAAAAAGTGTAACCTTTTTTTAATTCTTAGTAAATTTTTTATCATCACATAAAATATGTTTTTCTTATCGTTATGTTCTTTAACTTTGACAGAGTGCCCAATTTTCATGAGAAAAGTTTTCACAAAATTTTTAAGTAAAATAGAATATCCATTAAAATGTTAATGAATATTCCATTCGCAATTATACATTTCACTTTAATAAAATTCTATTTTAACAATACTTTTTTTAAGGAAAAAAATAAATGTTATGATTTATAAAACTTAATATTTTTCTCGTTCAAAAGCAGGAATAAGAAGAAGAGATTCTATGTAGTCTATTAAAAAAATTGCTGTTTATGTGATAACAAAATTAATAAAAAGCCACTTCCAAAAAAAATCCTAAATACATCCATGCACTATCTTCTTTATTATTTAAATTTTTTATCTAATATTATATTCTTTTTATCGTTGCTAACAATCACAATAGGTTTTTTACATAAAATTATAATACCATTCTTTTAGTGAATTATTCTAAAATTAATAATATGCTTTCTGTAATCTGCTTATACCAAAGATTCGATCAAAGAATCGATCTTACCAAAAATTTTTCTATCAAACCTATTTCTTCTAGCACTTTTGTCCCTGTTATCTACATCTCGTCTTCGCAAAATCGACCTCTTACAAAATTGATGCTCTTTCCAATACTCCTCATACTCCTGTTTACAGACTCATTGCTTTTATCTGATTTTTTATCTTACCGTTAAAATGCCGGTCACTCGGGCTGTAGAAATATTTGACAATCATTCTTTTCCGGTGCATACAAATCATTGGGGAGCAGTGATGCGATTACATGTGATGCATAGCGTGTGAGCAAAGATAAAATCGCGAATTGCGTATGTAATTTAGACAGACAGAAACGAAGTTTTTCTTGGTGTAAAGAATGATGAAGGAGTGCCGAGACCAATCACGATCAGTCTGATATACGAATTATTTTTAATATGCATGCATGCGTTTTTAATGTGTAAATAGCTGCACTGGGGCTTGACCCCAAAAGAGTTATCTCCTTGATTATACCGGTACGATCCTTTTTCTCTTTCTCTCTGTAATATGTAACACCCTTTCATCACAAGGTTATCGCCTTGCCTGCACTTTTGAATTTTACCGGCATTTGGAGAACTTTGCGCCTTATAAAAGCGGGAGGATCTCGCGTACGCTAGCAGTCTTACATCAGGGGCCACGCTATGATGAATGCCCTTACTGGTAAGTCGCCACCGAATGCGAAGTTGTATCTACTTTTGGGTACCTATCATGGAACATGTTGGAATAAATACTGAATCGGAATTAGGTATTCCGTTTTCTCTAGAAAACACATCTAAGGAATAATTAAATAACTTCGATTGGAATTTATTCCGACTTGTACCATGATAAATGCTTGAATCGGTTTCACGAGTTACACTTCAACGGAGTTTATCTCTCCTTTTTTTTTTACAATTCGACAAATTCGATATGTATAATATAATTATGAGGAACGCAGATGTCTTGTCCAGTCTATATCAATCCAATTATCATTATTTACCTTTTCTCAAATTATAAAACATTGTTTTCTACAACTTCATATTTTTAAAAAGGAAGGAAAAAGAAAAGGAAGGAAAAGTTTTTTGCAATTTACAAATTCTAATAAAGAAATATCAAAGGAAGTAATTGATTTTATATAACATTTTCAAAATGTATATAAAACAATTACTTTTTTTTAATGAATATATTAATTTAAATTTAATATTTCCTTTCAACTTCTCTTTTTCACAGATCTTAAATATTTTTAATGCGCAATACATTGAAGTAGAATATATTATATCATGTATATGTAATGAAATTATGTTTTCAGTATTTTTGCTGTGCCTAACGGCCACATATGCGGTACCAAGTAAGAATTTATATCTATTTTCTTATTTTTATTTATTTTTCTTATTTTATAAAATACTAAAAAAAAATATTTGTCTACAAATTGGTATAGGCAAATTGTATTCTAAATATTTAATAGTTGATACATTAATAATAGTAAAGTAAGTTCTTCAGTAAAATTAAATTATTTCCGCGTATCTATATTAATTCGCTGTACCGTGGGCCGTAAATGATAATAATTCAATGAATACTTTAATGATTTATTAAATGTAAAATTATTTTGATGTCTTTCTCAAAGTCACAGATTATTATATTTAACAATCGATAAAACGATACTTGCTTCAATTAACAAATAAATAATAAAATAAAAACAGAATACAATTAATAATATAGATATAAAATGACAGATAAATAATTTGCGATAATTCGATATATTTCAGTACACTTTCCTGCTGAAAAAACAATTATTTACAATTACTATGCCGATGTAAAAGCTGGAACTGTCGAGCCAGCACAATATGTCTCTCAGTTCGCTCTTACTGGGCAACTTCATGTAAAGAAGGATACCAGTGATCCGACTTTAAATAATGCTTATTACATCAAATTAAACAATTTAAAGTATGGCATGTACAATGGCATGGTTGTACATCACCAGCCGGTCAAAGTTCTTCACGAACTCGGAGAAGCCGCACAGCAAATTCAAGAACCGTTCGTGATCGTTTATGACGAATCTGGCAAGGTAATGTCCGAATTCTTAAGGCGACAATTTAACATAAAAATCGTTCATAAAAGACGAATGACTCGATTGAACATTCGATTTCAGTTCCAGGGTATCAAAATGCCAGAAACCGAGAGCGGTTGGTCAAGGAACATCAAGCAAGGTATCGCCTCGATGCTGCAATTGGATCTGGTTCACATCCAGATGCAAACCCCATTGAAGCCGCATGCTTTCATCACGCATGAGGTAGGTAACGACTGATGGGAACATCCAGCAAAAG